TTTTTCTACCAAAAGCAAAAATCAACATGTTTAAAAAAAATGTACTTTTTCGGGTTGTTACCGCTTAGCTGGTATATATATATATATACAGTATACAACCTTAGATAGGTCGTAGGTGGTACTACCCCTGAAATGCCTAAGTTTCAGCGTCCGTATATGTGTTTGTGGTGCCTCATCAAGTTTCTGCACTTCCCGGAAAAAAGGCCTTGGCTCAGGAAGACTCGAGCCGCCATCCCGGCCAAATACCCAGCACCGTGCCTTGACTTTTGTTCTGGCCAACATGGACCATGCTTCGAGACAAAAACCTGCTAAATCCGCCGAGATCGCCAAAAATCCTACGTATACAGTAATCCTCCTCCTCTCACATGACAAAGCTGTTGGTCTCTTGTCCCTGCCTCTCACTTAAAAACAGAATCCCAAACGACCAAACGACCGCCATCCCAACATGTTGTGACGTTCCAGGCGCCTCAGCGGCTGCAGTGGCGAACGCAGCGTAAGCTGCGGCCACACTGCTCAAAGATCTCAAGATCGCTGGCTGTGAGTCATACACGTTCCCCCCTTAGTCAAGAGACTCTCTTGCTGAATCATCCCCCCAGCCATGAATTATATAATAGTAAAACCATGTAAAGGCCTTGGGGCTGGGGTTTTGGTCATCAAACGTGTACATTCCTGCTTCACCTAGATCATCCACCCGTTCAAGATCTTTCAAAGAAGGTGACGACGCAAACATGCCGAATGCCCAAACAAGTCTGAGGAATAGTCATGTTCAGTATCAGAATACAAACAGGCCAGTGGTAAACCCATGGTAGGCCGATCAAGCGTTCTCAACCAAGCAGCAACGAGTTTCCATGGGGACGCACGACAAAATAATGAGGATAACAATTATGTCTTGCTTCAACTACCTTGAGCCAAAGGACCTCAAATCTTCTCGTTCTCATTCCTTCTCCCACAGGTCAAAGACTTGTAAGACCCAGCGGCACCAAGCGGCACCTTAAGGGGCCGATTCGGTTCATAGGAACTGGGGTCATCTTTCAAGCACAAAGACATACAAAGACTAAAAGTCTTTGCATTGAATGTAAGTAACCTTTGATTGATGCCAAGGCTTCCAGTCATACCTTCTAAGCAGGTGCTTGGGCTGTGTGCCAGAAGGGTCCATACATACCGATCTTTTCCTGGGCCATGTGACTTCCACCTCTGTAGCGAGAACACGTGACTGCCCATGGTGCCCGCATGACCGCCCACCTCCATCGAATGGATCCTGGTGACCACGAACCTCCGCCCTGCGCGGGTGTGGAGGTTCGTCGGGCAGGGCGAGCCCAGTAGACATGACGATATTTTTGTCGAAGAGTTACCTGACCATTGGACAGTAACTCCTGAGTTAGGTAACCTAACCATTGATCCCCAGGTTGATCCATGTGAGTCATCCGCCCGAACCCGAAAGAAGAGTTGGTCAGCGTTGACGAAAGGTCCATTCCTGGCTTTTCGTGAGCGAAAAGCATCTTCGGCGGTGCTGTCTTGGAAACAATTGGATTCTATTTTTGAAACGACCTTCCGCAGGCCTTCCGGACTGGAAAAGGTGATATGATATGCCACAATTGACTACTACCTCATTTACCATCCACTTCTAGACCATGCATGGACCAAAGAATCGTTACATACATTTACCCCATGAAAATGCCGGCGTTTTCATCTTCCAGTTCGCCCTAGACATGCAGTCCTGGAGGACTGCTAGTAGATGTCCCCCCTGAATTCAATCACCCCCTGTATGTAAATATGTACCAGGGGCCCTCAAAACCATCAAAAACCTGACTTTCCCTAGCAAAACACATGGTTTTTGTATATGAAAACCTTTGTTTTTCATGGTTTGGTTCGGGCGCCTGGTACAGGATGGGTGCTAGGTGTTGGCTCTATCCACCTCCCAGGGCTCCTCTTGACCCCTTTGGGTGCTTATTCCGTTGCAGGCCGTCGTCTCAGGTACCATCGTGTTGGGCTGGAATAGGACATACATGCAAGTACCATTGGTCGTGGGCTGGGGACTGCCGTCGTGATCGATTCCGAGGCAGGATTATCCCCAGAGAAAGTCGATGTCCTGATGGAGGTGAACAAGACTTGGAGACAGCATGTTCAAAAAATGGTGTAAAGCAAAGCTTGAAAGCTTCATGGCATATCATGGTCATTTCAACAACTACTGTAGTCCATTGCCGAATTTCTATGATCGAGCAACTCCGAACAATTCTATTGGATCTATCCATGGCGCAGTATTCAGGGTGATTTCTCCAACAGGTCATCAATTGAGACCTGGCCCAAGGCCAAAAACCTCTACAGGAGACCGGTATGCATTGATCCTCCCAACTTCCATGTGTTTGTGGAGTCTGTCCTTCTGGATGAAAAACTGTTTTCACCCACTGTTTGAGGAAACAACAAGACCAAGGTCCAAAGCGTAGTTGCTTGATTCCACCTGCTCAAACAAATCTGACCAATGTCTCCTTGTTTCTCCCAAATACCTCAATGCAGTGATTTCACAATAATGGATTGGACAGGTGCACTACCCACTCAAAAATAAACAACGATATAGATACATTACATGTGTTCTGTGCCAATGTACTCTTTTAAGTACGGTAAATAGGCCTCCAACTCTTTTTAATCACACCCTTATGGCATCTTATGGCCGGTCATGGCCAGTCGCGAGTCTGCTCAAACAATCTCGTGGAAGCGAGCACTTACTCCTTCAAATCATTTGTTTGGACTAACGCCAGTCGGCATGTGCCACAAACCGCACTTTCTCCCGTAAAACTCATCGATGGTAGGAAGCTGAGCTGAAGACAAAAAACTTTCGAAGCGGTCTCTCCAAATATCCAAGGTCCCGCTGCATGGAACACATTCACAAGACCTCGCCCAGAAGTTTGGGGTCTTCGGGATCGGCTACATATATACCACCCAAAACTGTGGGGTAGGCCCGGCAATGGACACAACACAGCAACTGATGGGTCTTCGATGGACCTTTAGATCTTCAATTCCCCTTGGACACATCGAATGCCGTCCCTTTGGCGAACAGCGTCCCAAAGGCCTGAGCACAGACATTCAGGGAATGGTCGCCAGCGAGTCAGGGTGGTGCCCGGTGGGGCTTTGTGTTGATGCCACAAAGAACATGACACAACTCCATTGTATGCATCGGACTGGAACCTACACCTACATGGAGCCCTTCAAATGTCACCCCTTACTGTGCCAATGCAAAAAAAAACTATACATGCCATACACGATGAGTACATGGATTCTCGCATTGACTGCACAGATCCCAAAAGCATCAACGACCACTGATCTGGGTGACTTGTTCGGCTTCAACGACCACTGTGTTTCGCTTCTCCCGAGGGTCGAGGATCCCCAGGACATGCCAAGGAAATCCACCCAAACCTAGAGAGGGAGGGAGGACCCTGTATTGGTACATATGGGATTGGCGGTCTATGGCAATATATAGGGCTGATTCAAACCCTCTTGGCACAATAGAGAATAAAAATAAACAAATCAAAACCAACAAACATCACCATGGGCTGCTGACGGTTGCAGGACATGGCAAGTAGTCAAGCTACTCAAACGTGCTTTTGACCGTCTTGTGTCTCACAACCTCCACGAACCATCTGTCTCCTTTGGCACATTCCAAATACATCCCCTTAAAGAAACAATTTTCCTTAGAAGAATCCGTCCAGTTCATATCAAGACTTGTTGACTCCTCATCAGGCTGACAGTCATAAATTTGATCCATGTCTCTCTCATGGGCAAAGCTTGTTGCTACTTCAAACCCTGCCTCGATCAGTCGTTGCAGTTCAAGCAAGGCTGCGATGACTCCACAACCTTGGAACTCCGTGGGGGACGATTCAGAGCATCTTTCTTGTGGACTTGCTTGTTCGGAAGCGAGTCAACAAACACAACTGATTTCACGGAACGGGATTCACTCATATAGGCGGCAAAATAGATATCACAGCAACACCAAGTTCTTGTGATGTCCGACCCTCAAAATGTGTTCAAATTACCACGCTGTCATCGTTTTGGACGGAGTGGCTGAGTCCAGAGTGGATGCGTAAATGTCAGAAGAGTGATCGATAGATGCCGGATATTTTACTGTTTGTTGTTGGCCTTACAAAACTTCTTCAACACTTATTAAATATAAATGTATATCAATTGACACATGTCTTCCACACCACTGCAAAATAGCGGCCGCGCTTCAGCGTTTCTTTCACACCTCTCGCCATCACACGTGCTTACGCTTGCTTCTGCCCGAACTTCGGGGGCAAACGAGGAGCGGCCCCTCGCGGCCGCGCGGCCGGAACTCAATTGGAAGCCGAGCACATCGTCCGACTTGGGTCGCGCGGGAAGCGCCAGCCGATCTTCGAAAGCAAGGATGGTGGTGGACCAAGTCCGGCACTGTGGCATAAGGGAGAAGAAAGGGGCACACCAAAAAGAAAACGTTTCATTCCACTCCTCTCGCCATCACGTGCTTAGGCTTGCTTCTTCCCGAACTTCGGGGCTCAAAAAGCGAGGACGCTCCGCGTGTTCGGACCCACGAAGAAAGTGGGTGTTGCCGGTGATGGAAGTGCCATTTAGAATCGAAAGCAGGAACGATGGTGGTGCACCAAGTCCGGCACTGTGATATACAATCAGGCAGGTGATGCAGGATATATGCAAAGAATATGAACACAAATTACGTTAACATGCGATCATGCACATCACCAGGTCACCGCTGCGTCGTCCACTTGTCGGGACGATCCGCTGGGGAACGAGCAGTGCAGTCTCTTTGCCGAGTCAAAGAGCTGGATACCCCGCAGCAGAACACTAAGGCTTCTTGGTGGCCTGCCAGTTGGTAAGGCTTCTCGTACTATGCTCACAAAGAACAATAGGAGGATCCAGAAACTGCGGGAAGACATGGGAACATCGCCAACGACCAAGCCGAAAGACATGGTCTTTTGCATGGCTTCTCGGAAAAACGGGTGACGATTGCCACCGACTTACTCCGCATCTTCTACCGCTAAGGTCGTTCTGCCCATGTCACAGACCACTCTTGAAGAGGAGAGTGGCACTGAGACGTCGTGCTCAAAGACTTCCCTGGCCTGATCAGTCATCTTCGCAAAGACCTTCATGGGGCCACTCACCGTGTTCTGAAAAGACTCGAAGATGGCTTTCAAGGCAAACTTCTCCTGCACGGGTTCTGGTGCAAGTTGGGAGCAAACAGGCATATCACATCTCTCTTTCACATCAACTGAAGCAAAAGAGACCTAGCAACATGATTGCAATGGTCCTTTCAATCTATATACACGTAGTGCTTCCCATGGTGATATGTCCGCCGATCTAGCTCTAAACCATTGTTGTTCCCATCACGCAAGAGCAACCGGTCCCAACCACAACCGGTCCCGACAGGGTCCCGCCTTCTCTGCAATGAGTTCGAAGAAGGCCGTGCGGCAAGCATCCACAACAAAGTCCAAGACACGACAGCAAGGCTTCAAGTCTTTGCAAATCCCCTGCTGATCCTTTTTCAGGGTCTTCAAGTCACTCTCTAGTTCTTTCAACTCACCTTCAAGACTTTGTTTCTCCTCCTTCAGGGCTTGGACCTCATTCTCCAAATTGTCAATGAGTTCCCAGCCGTCCTCTTCCTCGCTTGCGCTGGTGCTCACATTACTCCTGGCTTGCTTCTTCTTCCTCTTGGACTCTCTCATCTCCTGCTCCTTCTTGGCCAACTCCTCTTTCTTTCCTTGAAGCTCCTTCTTCTTCCCTTTAAGCTGCTTCTCCACACCTTCCGACTGGCAGCCTTGCTCCTCGAAGGCTCTCTCCTGTAGGAGTCCCACCAGCTCCTCCTTCGCTTCCTTCAGCTTCTCCCCTTCAGCATCAACAGCCTCGCAGATCTGCTCTGCAGAAATCCCTGTGGCCCTAAACGTCTGAATGATCTTCGACACCTAGGCCGTTGCATGTGAGGCGGAACCACGAACGGAGGAGTTCAAAGGTAAAGACTTCCAACAAACTGCTGAATCAGAGTAGATGGCACAAAACGTACAAAAAACATCCCTTGGAGATGGGTACATATAAACCACCAAACTGGGGGGTGGTGCCATCTACTCTGAAACCATTGTAAGCAGTTGAAGGTTGACAGTCTCACCATGAAGCCATTCGCAGCACAAACGCAGTGTCAGCATGTGTCAATGAATTTGAAACCAATGGTGATAACATGTTGTAGGCTATGTGGTTTGATCGCACAAGCAACAGGTATTCACTCTCAGCATATATGCACATGTGTGTGTTATGAGAAGAAACATGAATAATTACATATTAGAAACACCTGGTGGCTCCTCACTCTGTTAACTGAAGCAGGACCAGCGCAAAACACGTACAGCACAATATTGCATTCTATCTATAAAGCGTTCAGCCTGGCAACCTCTCCATCGTCGTCATCGCACTGTAACTTTGCCTCATGCTCCAGAAGCCTTTCCATATCCATTTGCGGTACGCCATCGTACTGCAGGTCACGTTGTTGCAAGATCATCTTCAAAGCATCCTGACAAACACATGTTGATAGCACGCGTCTGCCTCAAAAGCTGCATAGCGAAAGGAACGAGAAAACAAGGAATGAATGTCCATACTGTAAGTGAAGGAAAAAAGGACTGCACAGAACAGGGACATTGCATATAGTTTAATATCCTCTGTCTGGAGATGCTCTTCTAAATGGACTTGTTCAACAAAGCAAACAGTCTGTTCAGCTCCAGCCTTGGCTTTAGACACTCTGTCCACGCGTGGAAGTGGCTGTTCAATCTGGTCCTCGCCCGAGTCATCCCATCTAGGCGAGGCCCGCCCGTCAGCAAAAACAACCAAGGAAGCGACAGATCTGGGTCTTCCCTCTACCCACTCTACCTTCCCTGAACAAACACGGAAGTGACCTGCCGCGGTTTTCGACATGGTTCACTCCAGGGAGGTCGTCGGTCAGTTTCTACTTCGAAATGTTCTGTTTTGGAGGAGAATAATCCCCTGCAGAGGCCTACATGGAACCCCAAAGCCATTGGGTTGTAGAGGAAAGTGGTCGAACCCACCGGTCAATTCTCTCGTTCTATGCTAGTTTGCGGGAAAGATAATCCAACAAGTCTTCAAGTGTCCTGGAACTTGTTGGTGAACCGCACGATGCAGCGGACGATGCAGTGCAAGTCCTGGATGAGAATATGAACACATCGCGAAAAACCAGAGATCGGGAGAGTATACAGACAAAGCACAAGGAACGCTCAAGAATATCGTGCAATCGCGCCATGACATGAAGTGCACCAAGTGTTTAACCCACCTACAAACCGGTTTCTCGAATACTCCCAGAACCACCCCAAACACCAGATTCCAAGTCTGAAGAGTTCTGAACGAAGAAGGACTGTAGTTCTCCAAAACACCTCGGTATCACCCTTGTAGTGCAGCCTGTCTGCATGCAGGATATAAACTATAAAAGGCCTGCTGCAACAAACAAGTTATTGCTTTAAAGCTTCATTCTGCTGTATCACATCAAAATCACCAAAACATGACCCAGCCCAATTCTGACTGCCGCCTCACCCAGATCAGCATATAAATCTTTATTGTCTTGTGTTCGCTTGAACGACCTTCAACATGTCGGAGAATATGTATAACCGTCGGTGATTCAAACAATGTCCGACAATGAAAACTATTCGTATACAAAACTAAATATAATAAGTAAATACATATATAATTATATATAATAAACATCAATTGGGCTAGACAATCTCCAAACAAGGAAGCCCGGAGAGCGAACTTCACCCCCTCCAACTTCTTACGCCTGCAAGTGCAACAGGAAACTGGCGCTTGACCCATGACCCTATCTTGAAAACGATTCGAGATTCGTGGACCCTCCGACAATCAATTATCTTAGGAGTTTCTGTTCGTCCAAATTGCAAAAAAAGAACACTCCGCTTCAGTTCTACTAGACTGTCCTCTTCCATAATGTTATTCCGAGCCAGCTGTTCCTTCATCTTCTGCAGGCTTTCAAGCTGAAGCTGCAAAACGTGAGTGTTGCTTGAACCGAAGCGGTCCACGAGCTTCTTCTGCTTCTCATGAATGCGTTCCAATTGTGCCAAATGAGTCTGGCACTGTTTCTGCAGCTCAGCTGACTTGGTCTCATAGTCTTGCTGACTCTTTTCAAAGTATTGCAGGCACGAATTGTACTTGCTCTCACATTCAACAAACTTCTTTCTCAGGGCGTCTTCACTATCTTCTGCTTTGTTGAGGGATGTTTGCAGCTGTGTGATTTCCTTTTGAACTGTGCTCTCCAGCGACTGATACAAACCACACAAGTAGTTTTTGTCATGCTTTCCTGATTTCTCTACCTTGCTGGCGACGTCGCTCAACATTTTTACCTCCTGTTCGTAGTGCTGTTTCAGCTGTTGGTAATGTTCAGAGCACTTGGTGGTGTACTCCTTCTGCATGTCCCTCAGCATGGCCATACGAGCTTCCAAGATGCATTTCTCCAGGTTCACCAGGCTGGTCAATCTCTCAAAGGCTGGTACCAGGTCTTGCGACTGGACCACTTGCAACAATGAGATATGCTGGTCCAAATAGTCCACTTGGACCCTGCCTCCATTCGCAGCTTTGACTAAGGGTTGCAAAGTCGTTTCGACATGCTCCACTGGCCATGGTTCAAAGCCGGGCTCATTGATGTGCACGAAGAATGCAGACATCTGCCTACCCTGCCGCCCAGCAGCTTCAAAGAGCGCCTCAGCCTTGACTGTAGCCTCAGGAATGTCTTGCGAAAAGCCATCGGTGAGGAAAACCACGAAGATGGCTGCGAACTTGGGCTCACTTTCAATGCACTCAGCTATTTGATCCCAAGCAGACACAAAGCAAGTTCCACCGCCACATCCTTCCCTTCGCAGCTTGTCTGCCATTTTGTTGGCCACTGGAGCAGCTCGTACCAAGCACTTTGCATCACTGTTGAAGGGAATGATGCTCACCTTGTCGATAGAACCTCTACTCACACATGCATTTTGAAACGCCTCAACTGCCTTACAAGCAGATTTCCAGCGCTGCCCTGCCATACTTCCACTATTGTCCAAGGCAATGATGATGTGATTGATGTTGATCCTATCGAGGTTGAGCATGTCCTTCTGAAGATTCCTGATTTTCTCCTCACAATCATCCAAAGGAGCTCTGCTCGTCTTCTGATCCTCCTCCATCTTGTCCGCCAGCTCCTGTTTCTTCCGCTTTGCTTCTTCCTTGGCTCCGTGACATCTAAAAATGAAGTCCTTCGCCGAATTCTCTTTGCGGCTTTTCAAATCTTCATGTTCCTCTTGTTTCTGCTTCAACATTTCCTTGATCCATGCGGTATTATCCTTGGCCGCGCTCAACTTCCTGCTCAAGAAGTCCACCTGTGCTTCTTTCAGCTTGAGCTCGGCGGTCTCCTCGCCTCTCTTCGTCTCCAAATCCTTCTGCTTCTCTTGAAACTTCTGATGTTCTTCCCACACTCCACCGATCTCCCCCAAAATGTCAGAGCTCAAAATCTGGTTGCTGGCAGCTTGGATGGCTTTAAAGGCAGCTTCTCGATGAGCGGGGTCACAAAAACTGCAAAGCCTCTGCTCGAGCTTCTTGAAATCTGCAATCACCTGCTGGAGACAATCCAGCTCAGACTTGATGCAGCGACTGTCGTATTTCAGGTTGCTGCCTGCACCCTGACTCAATCCTGCGGGAGGAACATTGCATGAACAAGAAACAATTGTTGCAAAAGATCAGCACTTCGACATTCCGGTCAAAAAACATGAATCTTAAACATGAAGATTCAGAAAGCGAGCAGCGCACCTACTATCAGACTAATTGACTGTTCGATGCAAACTGGAGTCCAAGAAATGCGATGGGTGGAAACATGTTCCTTTCTAACAAAGGATGATGTTTATTAGGAAAGCTCTCAACCAATATGAGACAAACGCCTGAGACCTTTCAATGAGCTGTTCAACCATTCAACCAACGTTGCTGATGGTCAACTCTGATCTTGCTGGGGAAATGATGTTGGTGACGTTTTGATATAAATATATATATATGTATAGTATATGGACTCCCAATAATTTACAGCTTGTACAGCTTTAATCAAATTTACTCTATATACATAAATTTATCATTGCGACCCATGGCCAAACACCTTCATCCATGGCAGGTCCTGCCAAATCAAAGATTTGGTCAATGCGGTCCCGTAGTTGCCAAACTGCTTGGAATAGCTCGCGACAACCATGGCCACCTTTCGTCAAGGCCATCATCAAGTCATACTGTCGACCTGGGTCAAACGAGAGGTCGAATATTTGGCGAATTGGATGGAGCTCTTCCGGCTTGTCGGAGTTAGTTCCAGCTTGTCGGAGTTAGCAAAGTCAAAATTGAATTTGGGATTCCATTGGGCAGACCCACGGCTGGGTTTGGTGACCTTTCCCTTCGACTGTATACATGTCCTGCTTTCCAGTGCCTACTCTTGAGGTTATTGGAGACATAGTCCGACAACAGCTGGCCACTTGACTTTTGGCGGGACATTGAACACGGACGATTGAGCACCCCGTCGAGAACTCCAAAATACTTTTGCTTCACACTTGCCTGCCCCAAAATGTTCGGACAAGACCGACGAGCTGCGCTCTCCACAGTCCAGGATGTCCAAGAGTTGCGTCTGGCATGCGGACGCCGAAGAATCCAGGCCACTCATGATGTTCTTGGCACCATCACCTGAATAGACTCTCGGAGGAGCCTACCCAGGATTCCAGTAACCACAAGACATCAGGCAAAAAGTTGTCTAAAACAAGCATTTCCTCCCTGAGGCTCCTAGGCTTCGTCCCGTTGGGTGAGGGCCACTGCTGGTGAGGGCCAGATGTCTCCGAGCTATCGAGCTAGCTGATTCCGGCATCGACCATGCAGGGACAAGCAAGTGGAGGCCCCAAAGCCTTCAATCTCCTTTAAAAGAAAGACACATTCTATAATCTCTTCGCATGGGTGTGTATACATAGGGACTTGGGGTCAATGTTCCTTCTTGGAGGTCCAAGTGCGGGGTCTCCCGGTTCGAGCCACCCACATGTCCCCACGCCTCCAGTCATCCAGGTCAGGTCCTGTGTCCTTTGAGGTAATGCCAGTTGACCCCCCGTGTTCATGCCGCCACCCAAACAAGAAGGGCCAAGTGACTGACAGCCTTCCGCAACAAACGGGTCTCCTTGCTGTTCTCCGGCATGTGGGCACAACGCACGGTCAAGCAGCGGATCCCTTCGGCAGCTGACTCCATCTCCGACTGCCTGGCCAGTTTGATGGTTTGTTTCACGAGCCAAGCCCCTTTGAAGATCAGTTCAACTATACAAACAAACAACATTTGGATGCAGTCTCTTTTGTGCATGCGAGGCATACATGAGAATATGCTCCCGGTCATGTCATCTGGGTACATAAGAAAGATTTGCTTCGGAGAAGCCGCTTGGATCATGAAATCATGAAATGGATGGCATCATATTATTGAGCGACTCATCATGACGTGTCCACAGTTAGAGGGTAGGGGTAAGCATCATCCGGTCTTTTCAGTTTGGATCCGGGCACGGTCGAGACGGGGCGAAGATGGGCGAAGGGAGTTGTCTGCCAGTCACTGTGAGAAGAAATGGATACACTCAAACTCAGCTACGGTGAAAGAGGAAACGGGATCATATGTACTTTATACTGTACTTATAACTCCCTGAAAGAATCATGGCATGGATATTTGTTCTTTGGATAACCATGTTCCTCCACAAACAGATTTTTGGTTTCGGATTCCACTTGCATGATCACTTCAGGGAGTGTAACTTGATTGACACAGCCTCATCCGTGAAACTCGACCCAAACCATCATGGCTGCGAGCGGTGCCGATGTGCTCTGCGATCAGTGTGCCGATGTCTTCTGCGCAGGGTGGATGAATGATAGTCGACTTACCATCCACTCCCCTGAAGCCATCCCATGAATCAGGTGCTGTGGAACGTTTTTCTCCCTGTTCCTTCATGTGGTTATGAGGAGTGCTCCCCACTACCAATTCCCCACTACACGGCGGTAGGTCCTTCGGCCTCGAATGAAGATCCTCCAGCTGCTCCAGCTCCGCCTCGGTGGTCACTTCTCCGCAGCCAGGAGCCTGAGGATGAGCCGCGTCTGCATCGCTGGCCGCAGCACTTCCATCGTCCGAGCTCTCGTGGCCTGGCAAGAGATTCATAATGAGCTTTTCCATCAGAAATCTGCAGTCGGAGAACAAAAGAGCAAAGGAAGAGAGTGTCGCCCCGAAATGGAAGAAGCTGCAGATTCAACCAAAATGGCTTCAGATTAATTTGCACCATGAAGTACCACCTGATCTGTTGTGTTCCTCCTTCAGTAACTAAAAGCAGTCTGACCGGAATTCTCCCGCCGCAAACCCTGAGTCAGTGACTCAGTGATGCTTCCAGTGAAAACTGGACTACACAAACTTGCACAGCTCTCCAATCTTCTCCAAATGCTGATGGATTCGATTCAAAACGACACACATCGGACTGCAAGCTTCGCACCGGGCACGTCAGGTCTCAGGATCACCTGTCAGAGATCGCGCCACACCCACGGGAGCTTTTAACCAAGGTCCGACCGAAGAATCACTGAATTGGAACCCCCTCGGGGGTCCGTTCTTCCTGAAAGAAAAAAAAACGGGTACATGGCAGGTGAACGTGGTAGGTGAACCAACAAGCCTCGAAAAGCTCCATCTCTTCATCTCTTCATAGCTTAGTGGGCAAATGACCATGTTCTAAACCAAAAAGGCTTGGATTCACCTGTCCTGGACTCTGACCAGGGGGACCGATGGTCGACGAGTCTAGCACGAAGGTCTAAGCCGAGCACGAACGGCGTCCGCCCGAGCGAAACGAACGACGTCCGCCCTCTCGTTGGATGATGACAGAACGACAAACATTCCAAACACGACCGATGGTACTGGCATATTTACTATACTGGGAGTGATGAAAAGGGGGTCAATGAGTCAATGTAAATATGCCAGTCCCATGGCGTGTCTGGGATCTGTTTTGAAATGTTTTGTCGTAGAAGTACGCCAAGTGGAGTGGAAGATCAGCACATCCTCCTCCGCGCATTCCGTGCATTCAGGTCGTCGGCGGATCGAAATCATATCACGGCGTGGCTTCAACCCCATGTTTAAACTACAAAATTAACAATACATTAATTACATCAATGTTCAACCCGCCAAGTGATAAAAACTTTGATGGACTGTACTTCATTGTCATTACTTGTCGTAACTGTCTGTGAGCACACGTTCGGTGCGTTCTCGTTGGAACCCGTCCATCGGATCCAACATTGCACAACATCGCACGGACGTCCGACCGAGGCGGCCCCTCGGCGGGCGAGGCTTCCGGAGCCACCCGGCCCCGCGGACGGGAACGCCTCAGGAAGGAACGACCCCACGGGAAGGACCCCATTGAAGCCAATCGTCTTTGGGCGCTGGAGGGGCCACTTGCACACCTGGGAGAAGCGCTCTCGAAGCGAGCGAGGTGGAGCGGGTGTAGGGGGGGGTTGGCGGATGGGGGTGCCGCGAAGGGGGGGGGTTGGCGAGGACTTGCTCGATTCAAGTGAACAGTCAAGCGGATGTTGTCACACAAGAAAGGATTCGAGACCGATCTCCTTTGAAACTCAGATCCCGTGTTTGTTAATGTGTTCAAGGCTCTGGCCATGTGGGTATATTAGAGCTAGAGGACCCTATGAGCCAGTGTTCTACTGCATGTTGAATCTCATTCTGTCAACCCTCCGAATCCTTGGACCCGACTTGATGTCATCGCAGCCTTCGGAGCCGACCTCTTCTCATGAATTCTTGACCCTACAAACCAGGTCTTGACCTGTCGGTCCAGTCTCCTGGTCTTTAAGACCTCCAACTCCAGTTGAGGGCGCGGATTCGCGACACACCACCATGGTTTGTGGTGCGCGCTGTATTTTCGCCCGGCCAAAAGAATGATCCACCCAAAATGCCCGCGTATTTTGGTCTGCAAGCGCCCGAGGTTTAGGCAGACTTAGCAGGCTCTTGTGATCCAAACTCAAATCCAAGGCTATAAGATGCTATAAGTAGGTTGGGACGACTTATAACCCACTAAGTAGACTAGTAGGTTGCTATAAGTTTATGTTAAGCAATGGCAGCCATACATGACCAACCATCAAATAATTGTTTGAGAACAAAACACAAAAACATGAACTTGCAAAAAAGAAAACAAACAAAGCAAAACAAAAGCAAATAACAAAGCAAAAACAAAGCGCAACAAGAGGCAAACAAAATGCAAGTTGCTTTGTGTTTGCATTTTGTCGCTTGTGTTTTTTCCCTGGTACCACTTCTGCACTTATGTACGCTCCTAGGAAAAAAACATGCAAACAAAAACGTGAACAAATGCGGAAAAAAAAAACGTGACAATAAAGCGAAAACATGTGAACACAAAGTTAACAAAAAAGCAACAAACACACACAGCTACAGTTGTTGTTGCCTTTTTTGTTTGCTTTGCCTTTTGCGTTTTTTGTTGCTTTAAACAATGGTTTTTGGCTCCCTGTATCTATGGCGGCCAGCGCGCCGAAGATCATAAGCGCCGGTTGCTTCAAAGAGGTCGCTTCGTGAAGCACCGGACGGCACGGACCTCTGAGGTCCCACACCCGGCAGCAGCGCATTCTGTAACAAGGTCACCTGACGTCCATGGTCCATGGTCAATGAGTTCAATTAGAACATGAAGAATACCTATTAATATATAATCTACAGTCAGTGTAGACCTAATAGCAGGTCTCATTGACATCTTCACTATAGGGTGCAGTTGAAAGACGGGGTTGGAACTTTGGTGTTGAACATTAATAATACCTAATAACGGGACAGGTCGGTCAACTTCACACGACCTTACATGCAACTGCAGGAGTGAGTGACAGAGCCTGGCTCCCCCCATGGATTTCGTCGCGTGTAACGTAGGGCGATTCGTGGGTGACCCGGGTGACCCACTGGGTGGGATGGTGTGTCACTTGGATCTGCCGAAGTTACTACTCTGTGTTCGATGAGGGACCCAAAACAGATCGCTTTCGCGGCTCGAACGTCTCGTTCCGTGGTCCCCCGCGCCCTGCGACTGACTCGGGCTTCACTCACCGACGGAGGGTGGAAGGAGACGGTCGGTCCACGGGTCGAGGGCACGGTGCAAACCATTTCACCGTCACCCCCCATGCTGCGTGAGGGCTTTAGGGCTCCGATTTGGCTCACATGTACTAAGCCAACTGCTACGTCTCCATAAGCGCTCATCGTATGTTTACCGTCCCTTAGATTGCCTCTCATTTGCTCTACCTCCAAGCCCTTAAAAGGGCTTGCGCAGCTGCGCCGCCTTGTCCTTCAGCTCCAAGGAGATCAGGTGCAAAGCTGAGATCACCTCAAGGATACGGTTTTCGCGATGTGCATGGTGCCGCTAAGCCAGTCATGTCCCAAACACTGACCACCAGGGACCAGGTCTCCTTTTAGTTGAGGCTTCATCAATCAGGAACTTCCGTCCCCGACTTCGCCGCCAGGCCTCCCAAGAAGCCAGACTCTCATACTTGTGTATACGACTGGAGGGTCCAGTCGTACCGAACCAGGTCGGTACGGTGGCTCCGTGGATCTATAGACGAATCACGGAGGTCGGAGGTCGCAGCAGCTGAGGCCGATGAAACGCCCAGCACTTGTCCAGCACGGAA